GATTTGCTAAAGGGGAATAGCTCTGAATGATATGTTCAAAAAGTGACTTTCCAGTTGAATCCAACTGAATGTCAAGAGTTTTAAGCAGATCTAAGCCCATTGAACTGCGTTATCTTGCTTTTTGCTAATTACCGAGAAATTGTTACATTGAGAAATATGTTTATCTTACACAATTTACCTGTGTGTTATTTACCCTTGTGTTATTTAACATTTGGGGTTTATCTTTTTCTTTGGGCACACAATGTCAATTTTGTTTAAAGGTTCACTTTGCAGCCGATGTTATTAATGACACTATTTCCTCAACGGCAAATTGAAATAATTTTAGACTTTGTCAATAAACTGCTGGATGAAGGCTTCCCAACTCCCCAAGCTGTGTCAGTCGTGGGGGGATGTTTGACCATACATCACCACGCTGGTCAGTGCCAGATTAAGCTAGTGCGGGGCCTGTAGCAAATGTTATAAAGGGGCCCTAAAAAAAACACGTAAATATAAAAACACAAATTTTGAATTTGCACAGTAAAGTAATTGTATATTTTAATTTGCTATATTGCCAGATAATACGAAAAATCGCTAACCTTAAACACCCAGTCGTTCATAAAGTTGAAGGCAGTATAGTACGATAGTAATAGAGCAAGTGCAGAATCACTGAACCGGAATGGATAACTTGAAAGAATTTAGCGCGGGGCCCTTGAAAGTGCGGGGCCCGTAGCATAAGTAGCTACTACATGTGTAGCTACTACACGTGTAGCTACTACACGTGTACCTACTACACGTGTACCTACTACGAGGATAATCCGGTACTGACACTGGTCAGTGCCGCTCAGAGAAGGTGGCACCCCAGGACAGGTTCAGATATGAATCACCACTGTTGTTAGCCATAGTCGGGAATTGAACTTAGGTTAGTGGGTTGATAGCGTAGTCTTCGCCATTGCTGTGCCCTTGACAATTAAAACAAAACCTTTGCAAAACGTGTGCCGAAAGTGAATTTACGTTTTAAGTCAAAGCTTACGTTAAAAGCGAGTACTAGAATTGTTTAGTTAGTACAACACAGCAATGCTATATTATACGTAACGTTTGTCGTCATTAATGAATCCTCGAGTGCTTTGTGACGTGCAACGGACCGCACGCTTTTGTGTGAAATATAAAAAGAGGGCATCTCGTAAAACCATGTGACAATATTACCAAATTCAAATATAAATGCATTCTCAAAAGTAGCTCATGCTAAAATGTGTGCTGCATCTTATATACATGCAAAAATGACACAATATATAGTTCACAATCCTGTCTACACTTTAAACGTCTACATTGCCAAGTTTCACCATCGTTATGTCACGCGACATGGGACTTGTGCGACACATTCACATCCCCCCCCCCCCCCCCGTGACTTGTAGAAGCTTTGACCGCACCAGCCCATCTCACGAGCCAGTGGCACGAAGCAGCCATGACAGTGCCAAAATGCGACGGATAAAGATCATGAATCACACGGAGTGAGTCACGGCCACCAAACATCCACGTCATATCGCGTACCACGCAACGAAAAAAAAACATTACCACAGTTTCCATCGGCGTGGAAAAATTAACAATATTTGGGTCATTATTTGAACAAAACCAGCAAAAGCGCCTTTGGAAAAATTGTGTGTCGCACGTTTGGAGGACTTACAGATCAGCAGTGGTTACAAAAAGTAAAATTGTCACGTTACTTAAAGAGTAAAAGGACCATTTTTAAATGTGAGCTAAGTATAAGTAAAGTGGCAGCATGAGCTGAGAACAACTTAAAAGCATCCAACCTCCAGAACCTAACCCCTTCAGCCGCTCCTGGCAAAGTCGTCGTATAGTGAGCTTCCTCTACAATATATTCACATTGTATATAGGAATATAATTGCACTATGCCTCTGATCAAATCAGCTAGGATGCACCAGATCTTATCAGATCTCGAAAGCTAAGCAGGCCTTAAATTTGAAATAGTTCTCGTATGGGCGGCTACCATGCAGAGCAGGCGCTTTAGGGTTTAGGGCAACAAATAAATTATTGCAGTGCACTTGTGTGCTACCACTTGCACAGCTTAACACGTATGCTTTCGCGACCAGTATCCATAATACAGGGGTTTTTGGAGGGGGGTTAGATCGCGTAAATATATAAATGTGTCGTTAAATCCGCCACCACCCGACACAGCCAATTCGTAAGGTTTGTCACGTAAACAGAACGTGGCCAGTTCGTTACTAGTACAGCACACCGGTGGGTTGGAGAGCCAAGGCAAGATTGTAAATATTGTGGCTTGGCTCTCCAACATACCGTTGTGCTGTTGTAGTATCGAATTGGCATGTTCTGTGTGTTGGAAAGCTAAGCCAAGATTGTAGATGTTGTGGCTTGGCTCTCCAACACACTGGTGTGCTGTACTAGTGACGAATTGGCCACATTCTGTTTACGTGACAAACCTTACTAATTGGCTGTGTTGGGTGGTGGCGAATTTAACGACACATTTATATATTAACCCAAAAATACCTGTATTATACATGCACAGCTATGAGCAGCGTGTTGGTTGGACGGAGAGCAGAGATGTTCACGTGGGTGGAATAGCCACCCCGACTCCAATGGCGTGGGAAGCCCTTCGTCTGGCAGTGGATTGATAAAAGGGCTGTGCAAGTGCACGTACAGATTTACATCTTACCTTGTGCACGGTGCATCAAAGAGTGTGTTTGAAATAAATGAGGAAGGACGGTAAAGAATATTAAGCCTCATAAACTAAAACTAAACGAAACTCTTTTATTTGATCAGGTTAAGGTCCATTGAGCGATATATCTGTTTTTCAGAAGCAACATGGCCACAAATAATATCCCAACGAAGTGGCTTATCATCTGGAAATGTATAAAAGCAAAATACTCTAAACGCATATTCCTAAATGTGGAGGGAAAAGCGTGAGGATCCGGAGAAAGAAAGGCATGCAAACTCCAAATATACACCCGTCAGGGTCGGGATCGAACCCACGAACTTCGTGTGTACGGGGCAAGGCTCACTGAACTCTAGAGTTCGTTTTTCAGAAGCCATCTGGCTATCACAAATGACAGCTCAACGAAGTGGATTACCACCGCGTGGAGATTTATTGCGGCCAAATTCTCTAAGCGCATGCTGATTCTACATGTGGAGGGAAAGACCGGAGGATCCTGGAGGAAAATCCACGCTACCACGGGGGAAACACACATACTCCAAATATACAACAGGCGTCAGGGTCGGGATCGAACCCACGACCTCCTGTGTACCAGACGAGGTCGGAGATGATGTGTACGATTGAAATAAACGTTGTCCGGGGGAATATTCAACAAGAATAATCATGAGCAGGGAAATACGTGAATCAATAAAGTACATTGCCGCTAATGTATTGTTTTTAATTTATTAACATTCCCCCAAGAAATCCCAAGACTTTTTTAAAGTAGGGTCCTGCTAAGATTCGCAGTAGGAGGCGTGGAGGAGTGGGCCATCGAGCAAACTTGCAAACAATTTGTTTGCATTCGGCAATTAAAACCACGACGTCGGTGACATCATGCGGTCCCGCTGTTAAATCCTCGCAACAAAACAAAAGAGGCGATCTTAAGCATCCACCGCGCAGCGGACGGGCACGTGTGGATTGGTGACTAAAACACTCGCAGTATTAATCAAGTGGGGTCGCGTTGGGTGACGCTGGGTTCGAACAGCTAACCTCTGCAACGAGCGGCAAACGCACTGACCGCTCAGCCATCGCCACCCGTTCTTGCCCCGCGCAGGATGGAGGAACGTCCCGCCAAATATCGCCTTGGTGCTTGTTTTGTGGTGTGTGTCAGCGTTGAGGCTAAAGGCATGGCTGGGCTCAAGCCAGCACGTGCTACGCATTGCATGTTTGTTGAACTTCTTTCGCACCGAGTTGGGAGTGCGTTGACACGCGTTGCAACACGATTGGGTGTCATCTCAATGATGTCACAAAGAACAAAACACGTGATTATTATTTTTTTTGTAAGACCAATGACCTTGACGCTGTGTGTGTGTTTCGGCTAAGGCATTTCTAGGATAAGGTCAACACGGACTACGTACTGTATTGTATGTTGAACTTCTTTCGCACCGTACGTAGCCTGACCGTGCTAATCGGAGGTGCGTTGATACGGATTTCAACACAATTTAAACCCGTGTGTGTCTTCTCTTGTCGTAATGTTTTCACAAAGAACACAATACTTATATTCTTTTTTAATGACCAAGACCAAAGTAACCCCCTCCCCCCCATTTTTTTAAACTAGACCCTAAGCATATTTCCAGTAACCGGAAATGGAGATTAATTCATTTGCCGTTTTTTCTGCAATTCGCGTATTTCTTGTAAACAACAAAACAAATGTTGAAAGAAAAAAATATATAATCTGATTGACAACACAGATACTTAAGCGTGCTTGGTTCATAAACACATCTCGCGCAGATAGATACGCAGTCTGGACAGAACGGTGACTCATTTCGCCACCGCACTATTATTTGCTCAAGGCTTGTTTTTTTATTAAACCTAATGTTTTTCTCTCATCGCAACAACAAAAAAACATCTAAAACATCTTCCCGCGCAACACCCCCACCACCTCATCTAAAAATAAAGCCACACGCGGGCTTACAATCACCGCATTGCGTTCAGTGTCTGGAATTTCTACCGAATTCTAGACGAAGTGTCACGTGATTCATCCGCGGTTTGGTGACCCCAACTTGGGAATAATTAACCCCGTGATTCAAGCAGCTTACGAGGCATCGAGTCACGGTGAGCAAATGTCTCATTGAGTCACTTTTGAATGGCTGTGATTTTCATAACTTCCCTCCACAAAAAGGGTAGCACGTAGTTTGAAGAAGTTAGATACGTTTCTGGGTATGATATTGCTGCAACAGCTGATGCGCAACAGTACTGCTGATACAAAACAACTGGAAGTTTCCCTGGCTTTGTCGTCGAAGTGACTTAAGAAAGAACATGCCCTCATTGTGTTGTATAGAGGAACAGTGGTGCATCACTCCCATATGCCCCGTCTCCAAGGGCGTTGACCGGCAGGCGGAATGGTTGTGAGCGTCTATCTCAGCAGTAAGATGCTCAGCGGAGCGATCAGAATGCAGGAAAGTGCTGGGTGCTCACCTAAGGGGGACAACAAAAGAGGAAGTAAAAACTCGGTGGGCCACGTACGGTGCGAAAGAAGTTCAGCATACGTACAAATGTTAATACTGCATCGGTTTTCACGGGGTTTTTTGTTTTGCTGTACGTCTCCCCGATGTGTTCTCGGGGTGAATACCTGTGTGGACATCTTTCCCTGTAACACGCAGCACAATCCTAAAACGCACACACGGAAATAAAAAACTGCGATGGCAAATGGATATAAATGCACGCACTGGTATGCATGGCACCCAATGTAATGCGTGTGTACGATCGTGAGCGAGTGAGGGGTGTGCATGCAGGGCCGGATTAAGATGTTGTAGGCTCCTGGGCTCCAGGTCCTGTGAAGCCCCCAGTAATACTTTCATAAGGAAAACAAAGTTAAAGAAAAATTAATTTATTTTTACAAGGCTAACAAACAAATCAAATTCAGCATTCACAAACGAAATAACTTTTAAACTTAATCTCAGGAGGCGCGGGGGGGGGACAGTTAAATATAACCCGTTTTGAATCTTACTAGAAACTCTATAAGATGTAAAGTGCTCGCCTCCGTTGAGTAAACAAAGTAAGCTTCCTCCTGTGGAGTGTGGTGGCTAATGTGGGAAAACAAAGGCCACTGTCGGATTCTAGTATGCATACATAACAACAATACGAAAAATTACATGTACTTTGGTTAAATACTAGGCCTTGCCTATTAGTTGCTTATAAATAGCGTTTTTGGCATTTCACGCGGTCCCCTATTTGATATGGAGTGCTCTTGCGAGCTTGATCTCAGCAGCAAGATGCTTAGTAGAGCAATTAGAAGGCAGGAAATATGTTTATATGAGGATTCAGCAGGATTTGTTTAACATCCCCGACTCTGCTGATGAGACGCAGCCGGTCAAAACCGCTCCCGGTTTTGCTTGCTGAAACAAATGCCGCTTGATTATATTAATCTGCAAAGCCCATAAACTGATGGAAATAATTATTTTTTATATACTTTTTTTCTTTTCCATATGCGGATACAGACAAGAGTTCTGCTTTCATAAAAATCGTTCATTCCACCTTCGTACGCATGTACGTATGTCGACCTTCTTTCGCACCGTACCTCGCCAGCCAATCCGTGCTAATTGGAGGGTTGCCTTCAAACGCTTCCGGCTCCTCCCCAGTTTCCCCGTCAGTGTGCCCCCAACCAACACGTCATCTTCGTTGCGGTCACGCTGCCAGTACCCTCTAAACCCCCTCTCCTCGTCGCCCCCCGTTTTCCTTGGAAAGGAACACCGCGACTGGTTTGAATCATGGAAAGAGTAAAGATTCCACGCTTGGACACCCGATAAAGCCCTCTCTGGTACTCGTCACGCTTCCCGATAGCGCTTTTTTGCACGATACGTCAATCACAGAGCCAATGGATGCATGGATGGGACACAATGTTTGGAAACATTTATTTTATTTGATGAATATAACATTCTTCTTCGGAAACTCTGGTGTGCTGCTTTTATGATCAAATTCACGTTTCCAAAAGTGTCTCATAATTCTGTTGTTCTCATATGTAGGCGGTCTGTTTTGATTCCAATATCCTTTGAACAGTATGCCTGGTATATATATATTCTGCCGTGTTAAAAAATTTCGTCTCGAATAAACGTGATATTGTTGTTGTAGCAGGCACTTACAGGCTCTGTTTGCTTGGGGCTGTGTCGCGATGGTGGCTGTCCTAGGTTTTGCAGAAGCATTAATGAGGACCTCTCTTCCCGCAATTGTTGACCCTAACACAAATCACACACAAGCTATTTGATAAAAATGACAAAAAACCCATCTAGAATTTTTATTATTTTGCACATTACCCTGGGCAATGGGGGTATTTGACCTTTTTCGCAGAATATTTTTCTTTGCCAACCGTCAACTAACTTATTATTATTATCATGAATGAATTGTGTGTTTTGTTAATTTAATATTTTTTTACATTGTTACATGAGTAGTAAAAACATTTTTAGAACTAGACATTAGGTGACTAGCTGGGGCTTCAATTCGAAGTTGTAATGTTAATACTAGGTGTTATTGCACTATCAATAAAATAAATCCTCGGCCATGATGAATCCACCCAATCCGTTGCCAACTCCAACAGTCTCATGAAGCAACGATCCATCTGTCTCCCGCACGCGACCCGATTTCATCGCTACCTACTCTCTGCACGTTTCCCTCCTTCGGCTGCCACTCTGTCAGTAGTCTTGACCATCGGCCATCATCGATTGTCGCGAAGTTTTCCTACTAAAGCCAGCTGTTCTCAGCAGTCCGCACAATGTCTCTAACGTACGTGCCTTCTCCAATCCACGTCTTTTCCTTGCTATCGCTCAGTGTCACGAGTTTTCTCTGGTTGCGCGCTTTCGATCGGAGTATATTACCTGTGATGACATATTGATCAGAAATGTGGACATAGACAAAACTAATTCTGAACGGACACTAAGAAGCTCTGACGTCCAGTATGATACATTATTTGTGTAATACATTGTTAGTAGTATACATTATTAGTATCATACATTATTAGTAGTATTCATTGTTAGTAGTATACATTGTTAGTATTGCAATTTTTTTGTATTATACGTTGAGTTGTGAGGCTTCAAAATAATAAAGTAACTTACGACTTGTCTGTACATTTCTCCGTGAATAACGTTGAACAAAAGGTAAAAAAACCAGCCTGACATTACCTAAGCATTGATTTTTTTGTATCCTCCAAATTTGTGAGTTGCCCCTCAATTAAAAAAACTAACATTTTAGCATGAACCCTCCCAAACTTATAACTTTGTTATTTTCTTAAAATGTTAATCGCATTTTCAGAAGGGAGTTACAATGTCCGAGTCGTGATGCTTGCTACCTCCGTCTCCTGTGGGCTGGGCCATGTCGGCTACGCTGCTGCTGCTGGTGGTGGTGCTGGTGGTGGTGGTGGTTTCTTCCGTGGTTGTCGCGATATCCTCCGCTTCCTCCTCGTATGCACACATCAAACCTGACACACACAGGCCACGCATTGGGACAACAATCTGGGCTGCAAGACAAAGACATATCCCCCGTGTACCCTTCACATGATGTTGGGGCAAGTGCTGTTAGCGAGCACCTATGAAAGCTGGCACGGCACACGATGGAGTGGGTGGCGAGCACCACGCCCGACCGCCTTTGTATCCCCAGTGGCGATATTTTCAGATCATCATCAGTGGTGTTGGCCGCGAGCGGGAATCGAACTCTCATGTGCAGAGCGAGTGGGGACCACTGCCCTATGCTGTGTGTGGACCAGAGGTCACATGAAGGAATTCAGATGTTGCTCTGTGATACCCACATCCGTGGACCGTTCTCCAACATGAAGGGTTGCACTGCTCTGTGCGAAATAGAATAGATCCTTCATTTCGTGACATCACGCCAATGCCATAACCGGCATAATATTGTGGGGGAAAACATATAAAATATATATACATATATTTATATATTGTTAAAGACCATGGTGCACTTGGGCAATGGCAGGGCAGATGGTCATCGGAAGTAGTTGGCACATCATTTTCTGTTGCATTCTAGACAGAATATGTGCTAGTTAGTCATATATCCGATTGCCCTAAAATGTCCTTGGTGTTATCATGTTCTATAGATAGTATTAGGCTCTATGTGAAGGTGTCGGTATTCTGCAAGAGTCAACAAAGTGCCAAGGAATTTACTCGGGCAAGGGAGGCTGTGGCTTGAGGGGTCCTTGGCCCAAAATAAAGTTCAGAGAACTACTGCTTCATTAAATCAGGTGAGAACCCTTTGAGATTCCTTAACTTTGGATTAGATGCTTTTAACTTGATACCATCCACTTTAACGCAGATTGCATGCTTTTATAATTACCCTCAACATTATCCAGGCGGGCCACAGTAAAATTGAACTGTTAAATTTCTGCACACTGGATAATTGATATGCGTGCCCTTACCCAGCTATGTGACATTACACCAAACATCGTGGTGAAACCACAGCATACACATTTTTTCGTGCAAAATATGCCGTTTTATAAGTCAATTACGTCATTCACACTCACTGTCTCGGTATCTCAGCGATTGAGTCTTGGGAGTTGGTGTAGGAGTTCCTGTTACCGGACAGGATGAACCTGGCAGACAGGATGTCCATCTGGTCAACATCAGCACAATTTCATGAGCAAAAGGCGCAGTTCTTGGTACACGCTTTCTGGACACCTGTGTAGATACAACGCTCCACTTCCCCGCGATTGTTGAAATGAAATTTCCCCAATTTGGTACCTGTCTGTCAACCATATCGCCCCGTAAAGCGCCCGATCTCATCAGCAAGAGGGCCCTCGGCTCGATTCGAAACCCGGGTGGCGCCTTTCTGTGTGTGTGGTGTGCACGTTCTCCAGGTTTGTGCACAATTTCCTCCCTTCACTAAAATTAACGAACAAAGCAGCCGGTATTCTCCAAACATTCCCGAAGCTCAAATAAAATACCCCACAAAGGTACGAGATTGCACGTAGCAGCATCGCCCCCTACTGCGAACATCTGGCTGGACCCTCCTACAGAAGAAGAGTCTTGAGACTCAGCGAGGCGTTCCGTGGTAAACACGCACGGGTATAGCGAAGCAATCTAGGCGCATTCACCCACGGGACCGTGTCGCGCCCCGCACGTCGCGACACTGCTGGGTCGACGACACAAGGCGGCGGGATTTCACAGGCGTGCCCGCTGTTCCAAGCGTTTCGCCCGGAGGACGGAATCAACTTCTGGATTGCGAGTCCGGTTCGCGAGACAATTACGCAGCAGCGGCGTCAAGACCGAGGCGATGTAAACCGAAAGGCGAAAGGACATTTTTTTGGGAATGCCATCGAAAACCTTTGCCGTCCATTCTCGAGCTCCGGTTCGAAGTTTCGAACGCAAACAAAAGCTGCACCTGTGACCGGTGAGACGGGCACGGGTTCACTCCACTCGCTCTGCGAGCCATCGCCAAGTCCTTCGAAGGCGGCCATCTGCACGTGATATTCCGTGCCGAGCCGCGAGTCCGGCAGGTCGTAGAGCAGCGTGGGTGCGGGGTCGCAGGTCACCAGCTTGATGTCCTCCTCGGGGACATCGATCTGTGGGATTGGAAGACGCGACAGATATTTTGTTTTGTGCGCGCACATAAGGGGCCGTCCATAAATGGCGTCGCGCGATTTTGGACGATTTTTGACCCCTCCCCCCTCGTCACACGGAGTCACAAAAAGTCAGACCCCCCCCCTCAAATATGACGTCACAAAGCTCTGCCCCCCCCCCAAAAAATATATAAAACATGCTTCAAATCGCTTTAAACTATTGTAATTGTAGTGCGTATTTAATGTGGCGCTGCACTCTGATGTTGTAGGAGAAAACATTAATTAAAAAGTATATTTAATTAAGTCGAACGTGTTGTCTATATTTATTTAAAGTTGCGCATTTTTATGTGACGTCACATTTCTCAACCCTACCCCTCGTCACACATCGTCACAAATGTCTGACCCCCCCCCCCCAGGTGCGTGACGTCATTTATGGACGGCCTCTAACATGCACAGACCATACTGCGGCGGTGCGGATGGTGAGCTCACTGGACTTGCAATCCAGCAGCTAGCTGTACACGTGGTTGCACCACAGTTAGTCGACTGGAAGGTCGTGTGTGGTGGGTTTAAAGTGTGGGGAATCCCACCACTTCGGAGACATCTGGCCGGCGTGGAAGATTAGGCCAATGATACCCTCAAGAACGGCTCTCTAGAGGGGCTCTATAGAGCTCCCTCTCGTGGAGGTCCTTCCGCCATGCAGTGGCCTGAGCAGGCAACTTGCATGTCTGGAACTTTACCTTCACACACGCACACACACACACACTGCGAGCACGTGTGCTCTCAGTTGTTTGGATGAGTTATCCAAGAATCCTTGCAGCCTTCCGTGTTGTTGTTGCTGCTGTTGTTGTTGTTGTGTGTACGACCCTCACTTCAATGCCCGGCGCAGCCGATGTGCTGATCTTGAGCTTGTACATGAGAAAGAAGGCTCCGTCCTTCGTCCACCTGTGAGGCTTTTGCCACACCACGCGGATCACGGACGCGCATGTCCTTTGGGCCGTGATGTTCTCCGGGGGGTCTGGAACAACTTGGCAGAAGGGAGGGTGGTGGTTGAGACACGAGATGGGGATTAGACAGGAGTAGGTGTCAAAGAACACAGGCACGGTGATATGTCACACAAACAAGAATTTCGCGTACAGTATTCGGTTTGCAATAGCCTAATTTGTCTAAATCATGTACTTGAGTTGATGGAAGCCAACACAGAATAAATATTACGGATGTCCAATTTTTGGATTTTCAAGGATTTATAAAAAATAATTTTCAGACTATAAATCGTGTGCTTGTATCAGATGTAGCCCTTCACCTCCCCCCTCTCCACCAGTGTCATTCAAACAGAAGTTGCTTATACCAGAACTGTGCTTAAATACGATGTGTCTATATCCAGCTTCTAGCGCGCTTGACATCTCACGTTCACCTAGATAAATGTGAACATAATAAACCTGACTTCAATTGAGTGTCTATATGAAAACATTTTAACCTATAAATAATTGTCATTTATCCAGGGAAACCTCACTGCGACATGGAGGTAACAGCAAAAAAAACCCTCGACACCGATTTCGATTTAAAGCTTTCGTGACTGCAGGGATTCATCTTCTTGGTTCTTTCGGTAAAGTCACGTGACTTTACCGAAAGAACCAAGAAGACCTCGACACCGATTTTCAAGAATCCGTTTGTTGTACTGCCATCTGCTGGCCACCTCGAAACCTTGCAGCTCAGTGGGTTTGGGTGAGGCTAAAGACAAGCCACAGTCCGATTGTGGTCGTGCAACCCAAGCCATGCATGATGTATTTTGAACTTCTTTCGCACCATACGTAGCCAACCGTGGCAATGGGTGGTGGAGAAGCAAAAATACACGAACTCTCCTGATGCCCTCTCGTGGCTCGCGGACCTCGACCATTGGCATTCAGCTCATGAGCACATTGCAGAAAGAGAAAAGTGGATTTGGGTGTCTCAAAAAATGTCACGTGATCCACCAACTCTTGCGTCCAAAGCGCCGGATTACAGATGTGCACCATCGCGTGCATTTGGGTTGATGAACACAGATGGACAAGTTGACCAAGAGGCACGGGCCCGAATCGAAATAAATGATAGAATTCACGACAAATCCACGGTGTACAGCGCACTGAGGACATGTAGTTAGTGTAACCTCTCCGATGTGTTTTCAGGCTGTACCACGTGTTGTTCAGCGCGATGCCCGATGTTGTTGCTCCACGTTCTGGAATCTTCTTCAGCTCCACGTGGATTTAAACGTCGGATGTCGTGCTGAACAGCACCCAGTGCCACCCGAAAAACACACCGGAGGGTTATACAGCACAACTGCTGAAACGCACTCAGTAGTGTGAACGATTTAGTACCCTCAATGGCCAGATATGAGCGTGACTCATTGTGTGTGAGTGGATGTCTGATCGCTGTCGTGCTCTGCATGTGTTGGTGAGTGCGATCCTAACTGATGTCCAGTATATTGAAGAAGACGACGCCACGGGCTGATCCCAGGACATTCGTGGCCACCACTTCCACACCATATTCGTTCGCAGAGAACATCACCAACTGATGCACACGGCAGGACATGGGCCCCGTTGCAGGACACGCGCGCAGCTCGACATCCCGTGGATTCCTGATGAGCACATTCATCACGAAAGACACATGCGAAAGTTCACTTAATACGCCCCCCCCCCCGCCTCCCCCGCAGTGTTTGCTTGCTTGTATGGACAAAGCAAGTGTTTTCAAATGCACGGGTGAAATTAAATTGCACGGTGGTGATATATGTAAACTCCCTCGCCTGGTATGCAGGTAGTCGTGGGTTCGATCGCGACCCTGACGCCTGGTGGTATATTTGGAGTGTGTGTGTTTCCCCTGTGGTAGCGTGGATTTTCCTCCAGGATCCTCCGTTTTTTCCCTCCAGATTTAGAATCAGCACGCGCTTAGCAATACAATTCCACACGGAGATAAGCCGTCGTTTTTGATAGCCAGGTGGCTCAGTGAGCCTTACCTGGTAAATTAAAAATATAGTTTAGTTGAGATTGATGATGAGGTTTCCGTGTTGAGAGATGGCTGTGATTGTGTCCTTCCTAAGAACCACTTACTTGCGTACGGTGCTCGTACCAACTGTATCCCGCAAAACCCTTTCACGTGTTGTTTTTGTTTATTAATGCTGCCCGTGCATCAAATCACGTCTTTCCTTGCGGTGTGACCATGCGCTCACGTGTAAGAGGCGCTGTAGGAAGTGTTGAGGAACGTGTCCCTGCCCGCTCGCCACTCGCATTCGAAGCTCTCCGGGTAGTCAAAGGAGCGGCACGTGATGGCCGGCTTCGTTGGAGGGTCTGATCACGGCGACCAAAGACAAAGATGCCCACGTGAAGCCGACACGGGCTGTTGGGGCAAGTGCTGTATATGAGCACCAATGGAGACTGGAGTGGCAGGCAAGGAGGTCGAATGGTCATCCGCACGCCCGACTCTTTTTGTTTTCCCAGTGCTGATGTCCACACACGACACCACGTAATCATTTAAAGCAGGGAGACACACACACATATATACATGCGCACACAATCATATCCATTTTATACAAAATTACTAAATATCTCAAACCATATTTAATGTCATCACGGCCAGCCATGATTTATCCACTTCTGGATGAAGCCCTCCCAAAAAGCGTTGCCATCCGAAAAGGTCTCGCAAATTGTTTGTGCATAGTTCTCGTGTCTCGCGTTGATTCTGAGCCAGTGGTGGCAATTCCACATTGCTGTGGTGAAAACCAGTTAATTCATGTGGCAGCCACATTGACATTGTCTTCTTGCTCTTAAGATCTCTTGCTCAAGGTCAAGTCCCTGGCTCTTAAGATCTCTTGCTCAATGTCAGGTCCCTGGTTCTTAAGATCTCTTGCTCAAGGTCAAGTCCCTGGCTCTTAAGATCTCTTGCTCAATGTCAGGTCCCTGGTTCTTAAGATCTCTTGCTCAAGGTCAGGTCCCTGGTTCTTAAGATCTCTTGCTCAATGTCAGGTCCCTGGTTCTTAAGATATCTTGCTCAAGGTCAGGTCCCTGGTTCTTAAGATCTCTTGCTCAATGTCAGGTCCCTGGTTCTTAAGATCTCTTGCTCAAGGTCAAGTCCCTGGCTCTTAAGATCTCTTGCTCAATGTCAGGTCCCTGGTTCTTAAGATCTCTTGCTCAAGGTCAAGTCCCTGGCTCTTAAGATATCTTGCTCAATGTCAGGTCCCTGGTTCTTAAGATCTCTTGCTCAAGGTCAGGTCCCTGGTTCTTAAGATCTCTTGCTCAATGTCAGGTCCCTGGTTCTTAAGATCTCTTGCTCAAGGTCAAGTTCCTGGTTCTTAAGATCTCTTGCTCAAGGTCAGGTCCCTGGTTCTTAAGATATATTGCTCAATGTCAGGTCCCTGGTTCTTAAGATCTCTTGCTCAAGGTCAAGTCCCTGGTTCTGAAGATCTCTTGCTCAAGGTCAGGTCCTTGGTTCTTAAGATATCTTGCTCAAGGTCAGGTCCATGGTGCAAGCGCTGTCCATCTGATCCAATTACATGCCCCTCGCACCCTCCCACCGCCTTCAGGACATGACACTCCACACCAGGGTTCTTGGGAAATTACTATGGAATAGTACTGCTGTGGTGGTGGTGGTAGTAGTCGTATAGCTTGTTGACATTGACCTTCTTTAATACGCGTTTTTGCGTGACATCATTACCGTATGCGGTTTAGTACCATATCTAGAATGTATTCACAGTCGTTTTGTAAACAGAAATCTATTTTATAGCAATTTATTTTGGGGGGGATGTGTCCCCCCCAAAATATATTAAAAGTTACGGCCTCGGTATGGGGGTGTTGTTTGTATTGGTTGACAAAAGTAGGTTGACATGTTCGCTTATGCATGCAGACCGTATGCTTGTGGTCAAATCACCCAAGAATGCGTCCGATCTCGTCAGATTTCAGAAGTATAAGCAGGTTCGAGCCTGGATAGCCCTTGGATGGGCAGCGTAGCAAAATCGTACTGAGCTCTCCCGTCTATGCTCCCGGCTTTCCACCAACCTGCACGGATCAGCGTGGTGAAGTATGGTCAAATAACACCCCCCGCGACCCGCACGGCGTGGGGAGCCCCTCATCCAGCAGTGGATTGACAAAAGGGCCGTACACGTACTGGATATGGCTTTTTTTGATTGCGTAAGTAAAACTCACGTCCCAGCAGGAGTGCAATCTCATCGAGTGGCTCTGTCGTAGGTGACGTATGACAGCTGTAGATTCCACGGCTGGACACGTTAACATTTCTCAGGGTGAGAACCTCCATCTCGTCGCCATCATATTCATCGTATTCGTCATCATCGTAATCGGTGGACGACGATACGCCACTGTAACCGCCATCGTCAACGTCGTATCCAGCTGATGATGACAATGCCGGCACTGGTGTTGTTGGTGTTGTCCAGGTCTGTCCATCGTGCTTCCACACCAAAGGTTCTTCGTGCCCTTCAGGAATTCCACAGGTGAGCTTCACTGTTGAGCCCAGCTTTTCGTACTGATGCCTCATCCCTGTGGCGAGAAAGAAAATAGTGGTGAGGCATGGATGTGGCACTGACCCTCTTGACCTCTAGGTGTTGTTGTTGTTGTTTTACTCTGACCTATTGGCCTCGATGATTTTGCGATGGAAGGGAAGAGAGGGGAGAGGGATGAACCAGATCAATTGCTGGGGCAACACGAGCAGTTGGGGTGGGACTCTTCATGACAGACGCTGAAGATCCGAAAAGATGTAAAGCATCTCACGGACACCAACCCTCAGTTATGAGGATAACGCTCCATATATATTGACCTCGAACGTTTTACCTTGACCTGCGCTAACCAGCATGGTGAAGTATGGTCAAACAATCCTCACGATGGCGCGTCATTGAGACGCAAGCGATCGCTAGTGGCTTAAATATCATTACGATGGTAAAAAAAAATTCATGGTATTGTTACAGATGAACCTTCTCTATTGCTACCGATACCCCGCCACTAATCTGTCGTCATTCCCCCGCACCTCTGATGTCGCCCGCATCGTACGAAGGCAACCGATTCGCACGGTTGGCTACGTACGGTGTGAAAGAATTTCAACGTACGTACGCACACGGGGTCACACAGAGACCCATCGTTTGTTGTCCTTCCCCCGCACCTCCGATGTCGCCCGCATCGTACGAAGGCAACCGATTCGCACGGTTGGCTACGTACGGTGCGAAAGAATTTCAACGTACGTACGCACACGGGGTCACACAGAGACCAATCGTTTGTTGTCCTTCTCCCGCACCTCCGATGTCGCCCGGACGCCGATGCGTTTTGGTAACGCTCCTGCAAATTCGCACGGTTGGCCACGTACAGTGAACGTACATGTTTGTAATATGTTTGAAGAGATCAGAGCGGCAGGTGGCTGAGGGCTGTGGTTCAGGCCACTCTGCCGTGGCGGTGAGATATGGCACCGTACTTTGCCGCACTGCTGAGTGCGGCTTGGAAAGTTAAAAATAGCGGGAACACTAACAGCGCTACCGTTCTGGAACATTCTACAATTCCAATCAGTAACAATCGGTTGTGTAAAATGCCGTCCGTTCGAGTAAATATATTTTTTGCTGGAGCAGCAATTGTTGGCGTGTGGGATTACAACAATAATAAAGTCCACAGTCATACCATGAGATAATGGCTCTTCCTTGCACTTTTTGGTTGTGTCGCGCCTGTCGCTCGCCATAAAGTCCGACGTTTTGCTCCAGCAATGAAGAACAAAACGTCGGACATGCCCAACAGCAACGCGGTACAGCCCGAAAACCCATCGGAGAATCATCATCCGTGAACACCCACGGAGCAGGAACACAACATGCGACGCAATTATGATTCCCACGGCATCTAAACGCGACCGCATCTCAGGATGCAGAACCGGTGAACATGCATGTTTTGTAGAGAGGCAGTCCTGGGCAGAAGAGAATAGACATTTCTTGAGTCTGTACTTGAACAGGTGCACATGAGCAGGGAGTCAACAGCGCAGATGGCTGTAGGGAGAAATTTCCACAGACTATGGGACAGAAGAGGAGAATGAGCCACCTCCCATTGAGTTGAGAGGCAATGGAGGGTAGTGGAGTGAGATGAGAGGGGAGAGGTTTTCATTTCATTTTTAGTTTCATTCATTAGGTATAATCCTGTGAGCCATGCGGCTCTTGACTCGGGTGCAATCGCAACTCACCGTCTTCAATATGCAGGATATTGAAGACGGTGAGTGCGAATTTGAAATCGATCCGGAATTCGTTTGGGAGCCAATTGAGTAAACATACTAGTCGATTGTTTCATTATCTCATTATATGTTTGTATGTTTGTTGAACTTACTTCGCACCGCACGTAGCCAACCGTGCTTATCGAAGGTGCGGGGGAAGGACAACATACCAAACACAAAAAGCAGTTCTGTCTTTCCGACAGCCCTGTTCTTCACCTGAGGACGGCTGCTTGCGTTGTGGCCGAAACGTCGTGAGAATTGTATTTTATTATGTTTTATTTTTATTATTTTATTGTTTCCCTTCTACGTGACTTTTCCGAAAGAACCAAGAAGATGAATCCCTGCAGTCACGAAAGCTTCAAATCGAAATTCAGTTCTAAAAAAATGAGTTTTCCATCTAGATGATTTAAAAGTGCATAGCTCCAGTGGCTCCCTAATATCGGAAGGAAGAGCGTTCCAGACGGCCGCAGAAGCGCATCTGAAAGCGCGCGATGCAGTGATCGTCTGTTCGATGGTTAACCAAAAGCCGCGGCGATGATGAGCGGAGTTCGCGTGATGGTTTATGCTCCTTGACGAGATCAGCAAGGTATTGTGGTTCATTTGTGGCAGCTTGCAAGGTTAACCTGCGCTTTCTGTTCTAGAAAGTTCGAAATTGTGTAAATATAACTTCTCATATTTCAGGGTATTTCCCTGCCCAGTGCTGTGATTCTGTTATGCTTAAAGCAAACACTTCCTTGGGAACGAGCACTCAACCATTTCAGAGCATGTTTTCACATCACTTTTCTTTCTCTCTCTACCAACTCGAGTCCACATTTCACCATTTTCACCACTCAAATACATGTTAAATACTAATTTTAATGTACAACGTGTCTTTCGACTCCGATTGCCTGATTTCAAGTGGCGAGGCATTCCACAACTTGGGTGCCACGCAAACAACAAAAGCTTATCACCAACAGAGAACAACCTAGACCTGGGAGTGCTGAGTAGTTGGAGATCAGAAGATGTTAAGGACCTTGTTGGAATATATAAATGTATTCGTTCCTGCAAGTAACGTGGGGTGAGCCGTTTTAAAGCCTTATAGGTTAATGTCAGTCTTAAAATCCACTCGAACACGTAACGCGGCCAACCTGTAAATGTTTGTTGTTTGAAGATTTCCCTTCACCAGAAGCATTATTTCTCAATGCTTTTCTCCCGCTGCAAATCATACAATTACTTACTGCCATATTTGCAAATACCCAGAATGCATTCTGCAGCAGTTGAGGCCGTGCCTCCACAGGAGTTGCCAGGGTTTGTTTTCGACCACTGCTAACGCCACGCATTTGCAGCGATTTATCATTGACGATTCATCAATACTATACCGTGCAGGTGAATGTGAATGCAATTTAGCTTGTATCTCCTCGTGCAGTCTCGATTACAAAGGCTATATTTAAAAACAGTCAGTACAATTGTCGCCTTTATTGTTGATCGACTGTGTTTTACGCACTGTACGTCTAAATTGTTGCGTGTACTGATGTATGTTGAACTTCTTTCGCACCGTACGTAGCCAACCGCGCTTACCGGCTAGGCGTTGGGGAAGGACAACAAACTGACACACAGACACACAACAAGCAAATGAGCACTATCCACTCCATGTCGTGTGTACATGTACAGCTCGCTTGTCAGCCCACTTGATCACGATGCCTGTTTAAAGTAATTTGTATAAACAGTCTTTACGTAGACGACAGCACACGCTCATAAGACAATCTGCTAATCATCTCAATCGGCTATCCCCTTGCCAGTATTTTAAAAGACTCGGTTATGTATTTTTTTATATTATAGGTGACTGGTCGACATGCAGTTTCATTGTCATTGTACTGTATACAATAGCGCACTGCACTCTAATGCAACATACTTTGGAATTTTCTTTTTGCTACACCCGCAATGCTTTTACTGCGTAAAGTAGTCAAACATCTCTTGTGTGGCTCTCCAAGTGCAAGAAGTATTTAATTTTACTGTTTTGGAGTCCTCCAGTTTACTCGTGACTGTGCTTGTATTCTCATATTTCCGCCAGCAAGCTTCGAGACTTCTCCCCGTCTCGGCCACACACTCCACGCGAGGCGAATGACTTGGTTCAACAATTCTAGGGACAATTGTTCTGTCTATATGCCGGTACTTACAGACCCGTCGGCCCATACGGCTTACCCCGTGTTTTTGTGCAGGGAAATTGAGCTTGCAGGTCCGTGCGGCGTACACCCGTTTCAATACGGGCAAAAACACATTTTTGTCTATTTTTTGTGTTTTTCCCTTGTGATGGGTCTTTGTAGGATGAACGTTGATATTTATAAGGGGCACGAGGTGACCAATAAGGTCTGAATTGGTCTGTAATAAGGTGGGGCACTGATAAGGGTTTTGCAGGTATGTACTTAACGTGATTCTTAAAGTGATGTAAAAGTTTGGGCAAAAACCCTGATCTGTCAATGAAGCCTGGCTCAGATGTGAGATATTAAATTTTCTGAATGTCCCAGTTACACACAGAATAGAGTCGATGTATATTTGTGCCAAGTTTCAGCTCCTCAGCCCTTATAGACCATCAATATAATTCACATCACTTGGCCACTATCGAATATTAAGCAAGTGCATTAAATTACAGGACATATACGAACAAATCAATTTGCAACGCGCGCAAAATATCACTGGCAATGAATGACCGTGACCCAAAGGGGCGAATCTCTGAGATAATTGTAACGAAATATACACGGTGAAGAACTTAATAAAGACACGCTAATAATTGGCTTCATCGTAATTATTAGTCGGCGGGCATAGACGTTACAGTACTGTAGACACATTCACACGCTGATAAGTTGTAATAAAAGCCGCTGAAGGGCCTACCGTCCACATAAACAAGGTTGTTGTTGTATAAACACAGCAATGTTCTCACCCATTTCACAATCCCGCACTGACCGGCGTGGTGAAGTATGGTCAAAACAAACCGACACGGGAGTCTGGAAAGGAGTCCTTCATCCAGCAGTGGATCGGTAAAAGGGCCGTGCAATCCACTCACCGCACTCAACGCAGACGGAGCCGGCGGTGATGATGATGATTATTACCAAAAACAATCCTCGTTGAATATTCATCTTCAAAGCCACACTCTCTGTCTTTGCTTGGAACGCTGGCCTGTTTCGTCTTTCCAGCTTGTTGACAAGTTATGATATCTCAACGAGGGGGCGAACTGTGAACTACACGCACGCGGTTATTTCTCCACAGGTGCACGAGCGCGCTTGCTCCGCGATTTGAAGCGACTTGTTTTTACATTTTCTCCTTAAGTAGGTCTTTGGACTTTCAGTTTCTAAAGGGGGAATTACCCCACTTCGACTTTTGCACCTCTACGAAGCGGGGTGACGCTGTAATTCTGATAAATGCGACGTCATTCGCGTGTAAAATAAAAAAATAAAATATGACAGGATTTTAGAGTGCATAATCTCAATTGAAACACCTGGCGGGTACGCGATTAGAAGACCAGGTGCGGAAAGCCACAATCTCAAATGCGCCCAAAAACGAGCGTGTCTTAAGATCAGATGATATCTCGAAGTAAAAAAAGTTTCGAACGTGCTGAATGCACAACAGTTATTTCACCTCCTCGTGCACCAAGTACACAAGCGTACATGCACTTGCACTTGCATGTACGCTTGTACATGCAAGTACAAAAGCACAGGACGTATCACGGGAAGAGCAATTTCTCGCAATAGAGGAAGAGTGTGGAGGGCGAGCTCAGTGCAAATGCGTTGACTTGAGTTATGAATTATCACGCAGTTGACAGTAACCGGGACTTGTATTGCCCGGGATGGATTACATTTTTTCCGGGACAGTTTCCTCAAAGAGAGATGACGGTGCTGCTGGGAAAGCCAGGACACATGGAATTCCCATGCACAGGCCCTTCTTTTGTCAATCCACTACTGCAAGAGGGCTTTTCCAGGTCCGTATGGGTCGCCCGGGTTATTGATCCATACTTCACCACGCTGGTCAGTGTGTGTTTGTGGAGGTGGGGAGCATAGGTGTGGTAGCATAGCCGTACAGTCTAACATTGTGAGAAATCGAATATTTGTTTTTAGGCTGGAGGAATCCAATGAGCTATGAAGATGTGTCTCACAGTTGCCCGGTATGGGTGGGGTCAACAAGCGACAACGGCAAATAATACAAAAACACGACAGGACTACAAATAGAAAAACATGTAAACAAGTCGCTGATTGTAATCAATAAATGTTTTTTATAAGTCCGATTTATCAAGCTCGGGCAAGACGGCAAAAAAATAACCCAACTACACCAAGATAACACACAGTCCCTCAATAAAATGACACATTTAACTATCGATACAAAGGTACGGATCAATGGATTTTTCTGCAAGGCCAAGATCTGCCGAGCATGTCTGACGAGGGTTGTAATGGTGTCTAGTGAGGTCACCCCGTCCATATGGCAGGATTCCAACGAGCTTTTTTGTTTCGTATTTTCCCCACTCGTATCTGACCTCGTGAAACCCTCGCAGACAACCGAAAATTCACAAAAAAACATTTACACGGAAGGAAACTTCAGCGGCCCGAGAAGCCCACACTGCATTTTATGGGAAGTACAACAAACCCAGTGTCCAGCTGCGGATTATTTAGGAATAATTATGACGTAAGAGCACACAGTCATTTGTTAAATGCACACTACTGCATGGAGACCTCTTTCTCCTCCTCACCACGAGCTTGTCGCTTCACGATGGTTGGGTTTGACCAGACTTCACCACGCCGGACCGAGGCTATTCTTTTCGCAGCATCACGAATGTCCACTGCGCGTCTGGTCCGTCCCCGAAAACAAGTGTAGACTAATAGCGCCGGCTGCTGTCCAGCAGAGGCAACTGCGGTGGACAGTTAGCGCACACGCCGTCGAACGTATCCACGGGTGTGCTGGCAGGGCGGAGGAACTGGGACAAGGGTCATGGAAGACCTCATCGGGAAGCCCCTGGAACTCACTAGTGGGTTCGAGAAGGGAGGCGCGACCAGCGCGGAGCCAGGTCGTGCCGAGTAGAATAAGACAGCGGCGGGGTGCGAAGACAGCGACGGTGTGAAGACAGCGATGACCCCGATCCCACGGCAGCCCCGAACCGGGCTCCTCGCCTCCTTTTATCCCCGGCGTGGCCCTCACTCTGCCCCCTGGCCCCGCCCTCTTTCTCGAACTCTCTGGCCCGTTCCGAACTTCCCCCTTGTCACAACTCGCCCCCTATTATTTATCAACGCCTGTAATTTTCGCTCGTGACCGCTAGTCCCCGGGATGTCTTTGCACGCGCACTGTCTCCACCCACGCTCTGTCTGTACGCATGGAACACGGAGTCCCCTTCTGCACGTGGCACCATGCCACGCGTATGCAGCAGTGCCGGATTATCCTCGGAGCAAAAGTAGCATATACTACGGGCCCCGCACTTTCAAGGGCCCCGCGCTAAATGCTATCAAACTATCAATTCCGGTTCAGTGATTCTGCACTTGCTCTATTACTATAGCACTATACTGCCTTCAACTTTTACGAACTACTGGGTGTTTAAAGGTTAGCGATTTGTCGTATTATCTGGCTTTATAGCAAATTAAAAAATACAATTACTTTATTATGCAAGTAAAACAAATTGTCTTTTAATATTAATGTTTTTTTTTATGTTTAGGGCCCCTTTATAACATTTGCTACAGGCCCGCACTAGCTTAATCCGGCACTGGATATGAGAGCTAGAATGTGGACGTAAGACAGCAGCGATGCAGTGAAATGAGAGCGATGTATAAGTTGCGATAGAGATAAGAGCTGCGATTTTAGATGTTTCATTATTTTGTGCTCGGTTTAATTGCTCGTTGCGTTCATTCGGATTTGAATGTGAGCTTTTGCCAGCGGCTAGCGCCGCCACTGGGATAGAGAGGGATGTGTGGATGATCCAGACTGCTCCGTGTGCAGGGGTGGGAGGTCCATGGTGGGCTTAGAGGCTGCGGTGATGCTCGGTCTTCGTGCGCTCTGGTGAACAGCCACAGGCCGGAGAAGATAGCTTGGACCCCCGGGTAAGGCTGCGATTCTCTCTCCCCACCCACCCCCATGCACATCTCAATCTAAATGTCCAGTTTACAGGATATGCTGTGGCTCGCTATGTCCATCGCTTGTGGAACGGCTGAACAAAACAAAAATCAATACCCTCTGTGTTGTGTGCGTCAGAGCTGCGGTCGTGGTGTAACAGTGAGCGTGAGTGGAGCGGTGAGCGCGCAACGCCCCTAACCCGGCGACCCGAGTTCGATTCCCGCTCACGGCCAACACCAGTGACGATTATCTGAACCGGTCCTGGGCCGGCCCTCCCCTAGGTCGACTCAGCCTCAAATGAGTACCTGGTGCGGTGTTGTAAACATCGCCACTGGGGGGAGACAAAGGCAGCCGGCCGTGGTGCTGGCCACCCCACCCCCTCGTGTGCCACGGTGTCCACCTTAATAGGTGCTCGCTAACAGCACTTGCTCCTCCAGTCTGTGAAGGCTACACGGGGACCTTTGTTTTTGGTGGCGTCGTATGCGAGCCGCTGTGTGTGGAATGTCAGCGCAGTGCTGTGTGTGGGTGGCGTCATGGAATTGATGGCGTCTATGAGCGCAAGCAGGGATGCGGGAGATACACCATGTGGATTCTTAAATCTATCTGTAGCGGGCCTTTGAGTGCTTCTGTTATCCCTCGCAATATGCCGTGAGATATTTTTTCCCCCGTTTCGTTTCCTCTGAGTCCCACGGTTTCCTTCCACATACCAAAGATTTTTTTAAACGGAATTGGCCAAAAATACGCGATGCAAGAGGATCCTTAAAGGGGTCTTGAGCCTCTGAGGTTTTCATTGATATGCAGTATAAAATATATACTGTAATGTCAGTGCTTAATCCACGTCGGGGTCGTTTTCCCATTCTTCACCACGCTGATCACTGTGGGTTTGTAAAGATGTGGGGGCCCAGTACGGGTTCGGACATCACTGGCCACTGATGTTGAGCCATGGCCAGGAATACAACTCAGTTGGCTGGGGTTGCAGCAAAGGGCCACCGCTCCCCCCTTCAGGGATAGAGGCCATTATTCACGTACAACGTTGTTTTTCTGCCTGTGCTTGGCATTCTCTTGTGTGTGGTTATTGTTGTGACTTTGGGACAAGTGCTGACTGGAATGAATGCCTTACGAGTGATGTTTGCGTGTATTATCCACTGCATAAATGGGTGGAATATTCCGTGATTCCCGTCGTAACGTGTTATTGTTGCTGATGTTTTGGTTAGCTCGTTTCAATAGTAATCGTATTTCTGCAATACACAGTATGGTGTCGTAGTGGCGTGTATAATTAAGGCCCATAAAATCTAGGCCGAGTTTCTCATGGAATATCTTCCCGGGAAACCGATGGACCCTATTTTCCAGAGCTCAGCCTCGGACGACTCCGGCAGAAATCAACCCCCATCAGTGTATAATCGATGTCGCTGGTGGAACGCGAAGTAGATCGATCGATCGGTGGGTTCGAACACTGCGTTTTACATGAATTTCATCAGTGTTTGCAGAATGCAGTGCTTTGATCAGTGACAATAAAGTAACTGGCGTGGACTCGTGAAAATAATTCAAACGGGCCACCCCTGTCTCATTTCCCGGTGCAGTTGCATCACCTACATACTCGATACGACGCCCCACTGCCTATTAATTAATGATACAGGGGGGAGTGTGATGGCCTGGGGCTGTGATTGGATGATCAAGAAGGGGAGGTGGGGGTTATGGGTGGTTGGTGAGAGCGAGATTTTAAGGATGGCACGTGGAGCCCGTTTGTTGCCATCACTGGTTGTGGTTGACAGACAGTCGTGGTTTGGTGGCGGACTTCGCTTGTGGCGACGATCGGCAGTGAGTCGCTGAGAATGTAAGAGCTGGTTGGGAGAGATGGCTGCAATAAAATAATGTGACCGATACCATCGCACTGTATCTGGGAAGCTAAGCAGGGCTGAACTTGCTTCGTGCTTGGATGTATGACTGCCTAGCATTACAAGGTGTTATAGGCTTGGGGGGCCCGTGAGGTGGCCAGGAGATTGCAGTACAGCGATGGTTTCTTGAAGTGAAGCTTTGAGTATTACCCCCTCGTTGTGGGGTACTTCAATTTCCTCCAAACCCACGAAGACAACCATTTATGGAATTAGCCAAGAATGGAAATGCTGGACGGTCCTAACAAAAAGCACGAGACTCATCGATAAACCCCCGTTTTAAGTTCAATGAAGAA